TGCTATGAGGACACACACCCACGGGCATGCACAGCCCCCCTGTGTGTGGGTCTTGGGAGGGGTGGCATGGGCAGGGTGCTGGGGGCCAGAGGTTGGCACCTGGGTGTGGGGCCGTGGGGCAGCGCCAGGGGTTGCCCCACATCTGGCATTGGTGGTTCAGTGGTAGAATTCTCGCCTGCCACGCGGGAGGCCCGGGTTCGATTCCCGGCCAATGCAGCAGCTGCAGCTTTTGGACCCTGCTGTCATGGGGACCTTGGGGGAGCTTTTGCACCCTGCTGTCATGGGGGGACCTTGGGGGCTGCCGAGGGGAGCCCAGAGTCCCGCCCTTGGGCACCGCCTGGCACCTGCATGGACCCCCGGGCTGGCATCGCTGGTGGGCAGAGCAGAGCCAGGACCCTTTGGTGATGCCCGAGGGTCTGTGGTGGGGAGGTGCTGGGGGGCTTGGTGGCAGTGAGGGGGGCACTGGGTCGGTGGCCGTGAGTGCCCCTGGCTCAGGGGCAGTGGACGATATGGGGTCGGTGGCAGTGAGGGTCCCTGGCTCGGTTGTAACAGGGGCTGCTTGGGAGTGCGGGGTGCTGCTGCGCCCCGGAGACAGCTTCATCTGGGTGGCCTGTCACAGCTGGGTCTCCAGGGTGAGCCCAAAGTGTGGCTGGGTTGTTCTTTTGCTGTGGGGCAGTTTCTGCAGCCCCTCTGAGGAGAGCGTGAGCTTTGCTGTGTCTTCTCATCAGCGTGTTAACGCTGAAGGCTAATGACAACCCCCCCCTTGCTGGAGGTGATGACTGAGGAGCTCCCATGGCCTGATGCCCGTCATCAGAGCTGTCTGTCGGGGTCCCCTCACTTGGGGGGGTTCCCAGCCGGCAGTGCCTGTCCCTGTTTCTTCCCCCACACTGGGTGCGGGGCCGTGGGGGAGGGCTGGGGGCCACCCCACATCTGGCATTGGTGGTTCAGTGGTAGAATTCTCGCCTGCCACGCGGGAGGCCCGGGTTCGATTCCCGGCCAATGCAGCAGCTGCAGCTTTTTGCACCCCGGTGTCCCTGGGAGGACCTAGGGGGCTGCTGTGGTGCCCTTGGTGAGGGGGCCAGAGTTGCCTCCTTGGGCACCCCTGCACCGCTGTGTGCTGTGGCCCCTGTGTGGGTGCATGGACCCCCGGGCTGGCATTGCTGGTGGGCAGAGCAGAGCCAGGGCCCCTTGGTGATGCCCGAGGGTCTGTGGTGGGGAGGTGCTGGGGGGGCGTGGTGGCAGTGAGGGGGGCACTGGGTTGGTGGCAGTGAGTGCTCCTGGCTCAGGGCTGGTGATTGTCCATGGCTTGGTGGCCGTGAGTGTCCCTGGCTCAGTGGCAGTAAGTCACCCTGGCTTTCAGTGGCAGCGAGGGTCCCCGGCCCAGGGCAGTGGGGGGTGCTCGGGGCTGGGAGGTGCTGCTGCACCCCGGAGGCAGCTGCATTTGGGTGGTGGGTGGGGGTGGCCTGTCTCAGCTGGTCTCCAGGGTGAGCCCAAAGTGTGGCTGGGCTGTCCTGTGGGGCAGTTTCTGCAGCCTCTCTGAGGTGAGTGTGAGCTTTGCTGTGTCTTCTCATCAGCGTGTTAACTCTGAAGGCTAATGACAACACCCCCCCCTTGCTGGAGGTGATGACTGAGGCACTCCCATGGCCTGATGCCCGTCATCAGAGCTGTCTGTCGGGGTCCCCTCACTTGGGGGGGTTCCCAGCCGGCAGTGCCTGTCCCTGTTTCTTCCCCCACACTGGGTGCGGGGCCGTGGGGGAGGGCTGGGGGCCACCCCACATCTGGCATTGGTGGGTCAGGGATAATTCTCTCGCCTGCCACGCGGGAGGCCCGGGTTCGATTCCCGGCCAATGCAGCAGCTGCAGCTTTTTGCACCCCGGTGTCCCTGGGAGGACCTAGGGGGCTGCTGTGGTGCCCTTGGTGAGGGGGCCAGAGTTGCCTCCTTGGGCACCCCTGCACCGCTGTGTGCTGTGGCCCCTGTGTGGGTGCATGGACCCCCGGGCTGGCATTGCTGGTGGGCAGAGCAGAGCCAGGGCCCCTTGGTGATGCCCGAGGGTCTGTGGTGGGGAGGTGCTGGGGGGGCGTGGTGGCAGTGAGGGGGGCACTGGGTTGGTGGCAGTGAGTGCTCCTGGCTCAGGGCTGGTGATTGTCCATGGCTTGGTGGCCGTGAGTGTCCCTGGCTCAGTGGCAGTAAGTCACCCTGGCTTTCAGTGGCAGCGAGGGTCCCCGGCCCAGGGCAGTGGGGGGTGCTCGGGGCTGGGAGGTGCTGCTGCACCCCGGAGGCAGCTGCATTTGGGTGGTGGGTGGGGGTGGCCTGTCTCAGCTGGTCTCCAGGGTGAGCCCAAAGTGCGGCTGGGCTGTCCTGTGCTGTGGGATAGGTTCTACAGCCCCTTTGAGGCGAGTGTGAGCTTTGCTGTGTCTTCTCATCAGCGTGTTAACTCTGAAGGCTAATGACAACACCCCCCCCTTGCTGGAGGTGATGACTGAGGCACTCCCATGGCCTGATGCCCGTCATCAGAGCTGTCTGTCGGGGTCCCCTCACTTGGGGGGGTTCCCAGCCGGCAGTGCCTGTCCCTGTTTCTTCCCCCACACTGGGTGCGGGGCCGTGGGGGAGGGCTGGGGGCCACCCCACATCTGGCATTGGTGGTTCAGTGGTAGAATTCTCGCCTGCCACGCGGGAGGCCCGGGTTCGATTCCCGGCCAATGCAGCAGCCGCAGCTTTTGCACCCCGGTGTTCCCCCAGACGGACGTGGAGGCAGTGGTGGCCGACCTGGTGAAGCTGGTCCACAGCGGCAGTGTGGAGAAGCGGAGGAAGGCCGTGCGCCCCAAGGCACTGCTCGACAACTGCCTCAAGGTCATGAGGATGCTCTATGGCGTTCCCTGTGAGTGGGGACTGGGTCAGGACCTTAAGGGACAGAGGTGCCATGTGTGGGGGTCCTGTCCCACCCAATGACACCTGGCCCCTCTGCCCAGGTCGGTGGGAGTCCACCTAATGCCGCAGAAGACCCTTCGCTCGACGCCTTCTCCTTGCCCTGGGGCCCAGGATGCTGCCTCTGCTGTGCCTGCCCCCCCCAGCAGAGGCCCTTGGGGGTCCCCAAGGTGCAAAGGAGGACAAATGCCACCCCCTCCAGGACCAAACGCCACCCACTCCAGGACCCTGGGACTGTGCATGGTCCCATCTGAAATGGGCACCTTCTGCAGGGGTGTGGGCAGGGGGGCTCAGACGCAGCTCCCCATGGGCAGGCAGCTGCCGGCTGCCTGTGCGGGGGGGGGGGGACGCTGCCCTGCCCTGCCCTGCCCGCAGCAGGGGTGAGGGTATTGCCCGGTTCCTCTCGGTTTGTATTTTTTCCTCAGCTTTCATTAAACACCAGGTAATTCTCTAGTGCTCAGCATTGCAGCTCAGCTTCCAACCAGGTCCCGGGAGCCTCCAACCTTTCCCGAAATAAAGGACCAGCAGAGAGAACCCCAGCTGCCTCCACTGCCTCCTCATTTGGGGTGTCACTCCCCTCCCTTGGCTTTGCAGGGAGATATTCGCCCCGATACAGGGACCCCCAGAGCTTGCCAAGCCACCTCTGTCAGCCCCGGCCACTTCCCCGGCAAGAAAACATCTGGATTTGTTTGTTGTGCTTGGCGACGCGGTGTGGGCGGCGTGCCGGAGGGGCCGGGTGCTGGCCGCCTGCCTCCCCACTTCCTGGCTTAGTTAATTATCTTAATCAGCTATTATAGCCCTTAATGGGTGTATGCCTTGCTGCGGGCTGCTTAGGATTACAAGTCTATGAGAGTGTGCAGGTAAGGCTATGGGCACTGCAGCATGAATGGATTAAATGTCTTCTTCCTCCTCCTCCTCCTCCTCTTCCTCCTCGTCCCCCTTTCATGCCTAGTGACGATTCATGTTTATATAAAGCCCACGCAGAACTCATATAAAGCCAACCAACTATGATCTGCCGCTCGATAAAGGGCTTTAATTCGAGGGCCCCCTCGCCCATCCCTGCTGGCTTTAACAAACAGCCCCCGGGTGGTCCAGGGCCCCACCTGGGGCTGCCCGAGCCCCTGGCACTGAGCTTCCACCTCCCGCTCCCTCACGTCAGGCGTGGGAACAGTCCCCCCTGTGCTCCTCCACCGTGGGAAAACTGAAGCTACCCTAGTAAAAATGACCCCGGCCGGGCTTCTCGGAGCATGCCCGTGGCAAACAGCTGGGCTCGAGGCGTGCCCAAGCCCTGCATTTCCAGCCCAAGTGCCACTTGAGATGTTGTGATATTTTTTTTTTTCTGGTCCTCTTTTGAGGGATGGCTTCAAAAGTGTCAACTGAGAGTGGCCACAGAAACACACTCACGTGATGAGGAATTGGACCCTGTTTGCAATATCTCGTGATATACTATGAGATGGGACAGATGGAGGGAGGGTCAGCCGAGGGCGAGGTGCTGAGGTCCCAAAAGCCATCCCCAGGGACACACTAGGGCTTGGGAGATGCTCCTGCTGTGAAACCCCCAGCTGCTGGAAAAGGAAGAGCCTTTGCTGGCCTTGAACCAGCAGAAAAAAAAAAAAATCCCATCGGCATCCTCAGGACAGGCATGGAAAGGCTGACTGCTTTCAGGGAGCCAGGTTCAGTGGGGTGAGAGCTGGGATCCGGTAAGGATGCCCCATGCCTGCAGTTTTGGGATGTCTGGGATCCCCCCAGGCCACCAGCCAGCATGGCTTATGGCCACAGAGTGGGGCCATATCCAGCCCTGCCCCTTGGGCAGTGTGAGGATGCCCGGGGGGATCCGTCAGTCCCAGAGGATGCCCTGGCAGGCCCTGGCACCAGGATACAGGACCACTCTTGGAGCATCCTTCCCTCTGCCACCCCGGCCCAACTTGGCGTCCCGGGGAGGGGGGCAGCACCGCCAGCTCTCACCCCCCAACCAGGGGGTCCCTGTTCTCACCCCACAGAACCAGAGTGAGCCTGGAAATGGCAATTAATTAACTTTACTGAGCTCAGCAGCTGCCATGGCCCGTCACTGCTCTCACCAGGGCAGGCTCTGCCCTCTCCAGTCCCAGAAGGTGCCATTGCTGGTGGCTGAGAGCTGGGCCAGCAGCTGCAGGACGCCCCGCACACTCTCCTCCATCGTCACCGGGCCCTGCCAGACTCAAGGACATGGGGAAAAAAAATTAGCCAAAACCCCTTCCTGGCACACCGAGCCCCAGCCCTGGGTGTGGTGGGATACCAGCTCTGGCTGGGGCAGGTTGGGAGAAGCTGGAGGTGCTCTAGCAGCCAAGGACTGCAGCTTTGCACAAATTAATTGTCCCTAATTTGGGTGCTATAGGGCTGGAGGTTAATTTTACAGTTCCTAATAAAAAGTGATTCATTTGTTTGCTCTGCAGGGTAAGCCCTGCCAGGCGATGCTGCAAGAGGCTGTCTCCAGCCTTGCCTGCCTCCCCTTGGCACATTCAGCGAAGACAACTTTGGGGCGCTGATGGCCTTGGGGTGTGTGGGGTACTGGGGAGGCTGTACCCGGGGTGCAGTCCTCTGCTGGTGCTGAGCATGGAGCCGGGGTGCCCTCTGCTGACATGGGATTGGGATGGGAAATGCAATAAAAAATAGGGAGGAAATTAGATGTTTTTGGGGGAGAGCCCAGAATTGGTCCTTTGCTGCAGTGACACAGAGCCCCTGAGACCAAAGGGCTGCATGGGGGCCTGAGGGTGCCCCCAGGAGGGGCTGCACCCAGGGATGGATGCCCCTGGGAAGGGATGTGCATGGGATGGGATGCCTGGGGCAAGGGATGCCCACAGGAAGGGATATCCCTGTGAATGGATGCCCCAGGAAGGGATGCCAGTGGGAAGGGATGCCCCCAGGTAAGGATGCCCTGGGAAGGGATGCCCATGGGACTTTGCCGAGCCAGGGTGGCTGTACACCTCCCGTCACTCACCGTCCCCTGTTCCAAGGGGGGTGTCACAAAGCCAGGGTCCACAGACACACAGAGGATCCCACTGCCCCCGTACTCCAGGGCCAGGCATTTGGTGAGCATGTTCAGAGCAGCCTGGGGGCACAACCACCACTGTCACAGGGTGGCACTGCCACAGCTTGAGATGGGGGTCCCCCAGAAGGTGACCTCCCCAAATGCGTCCCCATTCTCCTGGCATGGTACCTTGCTGCAGCGGTAGCAGACGTCCTGCCTCTCTCCCCAAGCCTCCACTGCCTCGATGGAGCCCAGGATGCTGGAGATGTTGACAATGGCGGCTCTGCTGCAGCTCATCCCACGCTGCCCTTCAGCCTCAGCTGCCTCCTTCAGCAGGGGCAGGAACGCCTGCAGGGGACAGGTGCTCAGGCATCGCCATCCTCCTCCCCTGCAGGGGCCCGATGGTGTTAGTGGTGTAGACGAGGGACATGTTCTCTGCCGTCTCGGTGTCCAGTGTGCTGCGGCGCATGGTGCCAGTGTTGTTGATCAGGAGGTTGAGGCCGGCGCTTCCCACCTCCTCCCGCACCTTCCCAACCGCTGCCTTAATGCTGTTGGGGTCTGTCACATCTGCAAGGGGACAGAAGGGCTTGGGGACAGGCTGGGGGGCCATGTTCCAGGCAAGATGCTCTAGGACATGATGGGAGGCAGTTCCCGGCCACTGAGCATCTTCCTGGTCCCAGCAGTGACCTGGTTGGGCTGAGCCAAACCGAGGGACCTGCCTGCTTCTGTGGCATTTCTCAGAGCCAGCCATGGGCACCATTAAATCCCGAGAAGCTTCATCCCCTTCCCACCCTGGCACCTACCTAGAGGCAGGACCACGACGTTGGGGCAGCCCAAAGCCACCTCGTTGACAGCCTACACAGAGAAAGGGGGGGTCAGGTGGAGGGGCTTGGCAGGGGGGTGGCCCTGTGCCATGCCGGGATGGGAACCAGGCTGTCCTGCATGCCATGGCTGACAGGTTTCGACAAGCCCCGATGGGAGAGATTCAGGGCGAGTCACTGCTTCTCTGCACCCGGCTGAGCCCTCAGCAGCTTCAAAGACCCTGGCAGCGATGCCTCCGGTGTGGGACCTCTGGCAACCTGCCCCCGGCACCCCCTGCCAGGCACTTATCATCTATGCCAAGACTAGCAAAAAAAATATATATATAAACATATGTATTTTTCCATGCCCATTCACAGTGAGGGATGCTGTCACTCAACCCCCCCCCCCCCCCCAAACCAGGGGGGGGGGGGGGGCACTTTTTTTTTCCCCCCCCCCTCCCAGGGGGGGGTTCCCCCCCCCCCCCCCCCCCCCCCCCCGCCAAGCCAGGTGGGGATGGTGGCACCCCCAGGCTCTGCGTTTCCCAGCCCGTCCCGGGGCTGACCCTGCTGTCCCCCGCCCTGGCATCCTCCCTACCTTCCCCTGGGGGTCCAGGCAAGCGGCGAAGAGGTGCCGGGGCGGGCTGGGCTGCTCCAGCAAGCCCTTCAGCAGCCCCAGCCCGAGCCCCTCATCGCAGCCGGTCAGCAAGACGCTCCCCACGGCGAACCCCTCCATTCCCACTGCCTGCTGCAGCTGGTTGTGCTGCCCTGGCAAGGTTTGGCAATCCTGCTGATAATTCAGGAGGCGGCACCGCGGGTGCTGCCGGGATGGGTGGAGGTGTTGGGGGGGACACTGCCTGCACCCCCTTTCCTGGAGGGGATGGGGCAGAGGAATGCTCTTCTGCATCCTGGGGGTCACCCATCACCTTGGCAATGGGGATGTCTCCCCCCTCCCTGCATCCCACAGAACCCCCCCCCCCCCCCCGGGGCACCCCCCAAAGGGGGGTGGGGGCCCCCCCCCCGTGC